TTATATATGCACTCACAATATTTTATAAATTAATTAAATAATTAATACATATGCATCCGATAACTTTGCCATCTTGACCCTTTTCTCTACCAATAATAATAGCAATACTAATAAATGATAATAATGATAATATTAGTAATAATAAGAATAATAAATAGTAAATAAATTAATAAATAACAATGATAATATAATGCGTACAGCTTGTTAGCATGGACAACGGTCACGTTGGCTACTCATCAATATTGTCACAATTATTGTTTTGGTGTCATAATTTTTTTTTTTTTACATATAATATAATAATAGTTGAATGTAAGTTGCTATAAGTGTTCCCATTATATTCTGGCAATTTCTTTTATTGTCACTGTCATTGTCATTGTAGTCATTGTATATTTTTATAACTCTTTTCTTCACACCACATCATCAGCATCGTCATCGTTTATTGTCGTCATTATTGTCATCATTGTTGTCATCCTTTATTGTCATCATCATTGTCACATCACCAACCATTAACCGATCGAATCCATTGAACTATATAGACCGTGGTACCCTTTTTGTCGCAATATTTTCATTTTGTTTCTGTTCATATGTATGTGTGTGTATGTGTGTATGTGTATGTGTGTGTATGTGTGTATGTGTATGTGTGTCGGTGTATATCTATCTGTGTGCATATATCTGATTGTCATCAACAGTGCTATCAGTAACAAAGCTGAGAATTTTTGTTGTCCATCCATCATTTTTTAGAATCTTTTTCCATTCCTTAAAACGGAATCATTTTTGAGAGCTATAATTTTCATTATTTTCTGATATCAAAAAAAAAAAATTTTTTTCCCTTTCATCTATTACTCATACATAATTTAATTGTACATAAGCATGACCTATGACCTCGTGATTATCATTTGAATTTTTTTAGCAGAAAAAAAAAGGAAAAAGAGAAGGAGGAGAGGAAAAAAAAGAGAAGTATATTAACAATATATAATTTGACAAATTATCAAAAATGTTTGTTTCATTTCAAATATCATCAATGTTTTACATCGAAAATATTGTTGTAAAGTAGTATTTCGCATTGTTATTTAATTTGAAATGAATAGCAAAAAGAAAATAGAGAAAGATTTCAGGAAGAGAATTAAAAAGAAAGAAGGGAACGAGAAAAGTAGTACTTCCAAATAAAGTTGGATTAGTCTTGAATTGAATTAAATCGTAGAAGAATATTATTATTAAATCCTGCTATGACCGAATTAACCATGCTTTATCCATCCATCGTTACAACACCGTCTGCATCAACCATACCGGTCAATATATCAGCTGCAGCTGCAGCAGCAGCAGCAGCAGCAGGAATTGCTACAACTCATAAATTACACAATCATCAACGAGATGATGAATTATTGGATGATGATGATGATCTTGGATCGGTATCCTCAGATGGCGGTCGTTCTTCAGCTACCAGTTAGTGAATTTCATTATTCACATGTGATATATTCATAATTTTTACCATCCTCTTTATTTTATTTTATATTTTACAAATTTTCCACTTTTAGAAAAAAAGTTTTTATTGTTTTTTTTTTCAACCAGAATTGAAAATTTTATTTGCTTCATTTGTTATTTTATTGATGTAAATTTACGGTTTTAGATGAATAATTAGCAAATCTATGATTTTCAGCTCTTTTAAACGATAGTATCGCTAAATATTAAATTAAATATTTTCAAATGTAATTTTATTAAGGTGGGAAATGAAATGAATGTAAATTCATTTCATTTTTTAGGTCATGCGGTAGGTCTTAGCTCTGGTAAAATGTCAATTGAATCACATGTGAAGCGGCCGATGAATGCTTTCATGGTTTGGTCCAGAGGACAACGACGAAAAATGGCGCAAGATAATCCAAAAATGCATAATAGCGAAATTAGCAAACGTTTGGGTTAGCATTTTGTTTTAGTTGTTGATAATTTCAAAATATTTTACGGAAATTCTCATTGCTGATGATTTAAAATATCTCGAGGTTCTATGTGACCATTTGCCGGAATACTTTTCTTTCTTTTTCTATCTCGCTCTCTTTTTTTCTTTGTTCAGTTGGTTTCTTTTGAATTTTAGGTGCGGAATGGAAGCAACTTTGTGATGCGGAAAAAAGGCCATTTATAGATGAGGCGAAACGTTTACGAGCGTTACACATGAAAGAGCATCCGGATTACAAGTATCGGCCACGACGGAAACCTAAAAGTGTAACAAAAACAAAGGAAAAATACCGGTTCACATTGCCATTTACCGCTTTTCCGACAACAAATTTGCTAAGTTTGTTCTTTTTACTTAAAATAAATTAAGTTTAATTTAATGGATTTTAATTATTAGGTAAAATAATATCATGTCATGGAAGTAACAATTTATTCTTAAGGTATTATTAATCATTTTTTATTTCAAAAAATGTACTAGCAATTAAATTGAAGTGATAAAAGTTATGCAGTCATTTTACTATAATATATTTTTCATATTACAATATGTATGGAAATAATTTAACACTCACTAATTTCATTATTTAACTTTCGAAATTAATTTAACATAGAAAAATTTTTACATTTTAGACCAACAAACAGTATCACGGGCAACACCATTTTATCCATCAATGAATCCTCTTGATATGGCAGCTAAAATTGCCGCTGATAGTGCGGCATTATCAAAAGCTGCCGAATTCCCCTACTATCCACCATTTTTTCATCCCACCGCACCGGTCAATACAACAACAGCTGGGTAATTCATTGAACAGATATTTTTTCTCTTTTGAACTTTTGATATTCTATTTGTTGGGAATAGAATATGATGAATAATAGTCTAGACTAGGCTAATTATTTATAGCCTTAAGTCTTTTTTTGTTCTACTTCATTTTTATTGCTTTTCCAAGAAGTGCAAGAAATTTAATATGGTGTTCTAGTTTACTGAAGATATTTATCGCCGATAGAATTACTGTAAAATTGATAATGAACATAAGAACAAATATATCTATAATTAAAAAGTAATAAATGATTAATGAATAATTAATGAAAGAGATCATGCATAATTAATATAGAAGTATAATTGAATATGATAAGTGTGATATGAAAGTACAATAAAGTACAATAAATACACTTGATTAGAGTAATTTTTTGAGGTAATAATTATGAATAAATTGAAAAGTTAATTTGTATGATGAATTAATAATTCACTCATACATTTTATTAGAGTATTTTCTTTTTGAGGTTAATAACTCATTACGAGTAAATTGAGAATTAATTGCATTATGAATCATTGTTATCATTATCAGTTCTTTTATTTCAATCTTTTATTATTTATAAATATTTGAAGTAATATTGCGCTCATTATTATTTGTTATTTATGTTTGTTTTTATAATTCAAAAAGTGACAACCTTTTATAATAAAAAAGAGGAAAAATTTCTCATCATTTATAATTAATTCCTTACAATTTCAGCTTAATGCCAGCTTATAATCCGTATGATTTGCAACGAAATGTATTAGCCGCATATGCAATGAAAACAAATGTTATGGCGCATGCAGCTGCAGCTGCAGTTGCGGTACAGTCACCTGCAACAAATACCAGTAGTAGCAACAACGATGCACGTTGTAACACAGCTTTATCACAAGCTGCATCAGCCGTATAATTTTGCGTACGTTTTTTTTTTTTTGCTTCAAAATATAACATTTATTACTTAGTTTATTTGTATCATAAATTTTTCTTTATTTAATTCAATTAAAAAATTGAAAATTTTCTTACATTGTATGAGAAAAGATTATCTTACATTCTCTTACAATCATTTCAAATTTTTTTGTGCTGCATTTTTGGATATGAATAAATTGAGGGAGAACTCTCTAAATATAACTTTAGTGAAATTTTGAATAGGGCAGAAAAAAAAAGAAAATGAATCATTACATAACCTTTCGTTCATGTTTTCCTCCACATTTTCTTTTATTATTAATGAAATTTAAAGAATTGTTATTTGAAGTTACTTTAAATAGGACAGTAGAAAATTTTGAATTCATATGAAATTAACTTTGCTATTTTGGTATTGATTGGTATGATATGATAACTGTAGTACATCTAAGTGAAGAAGTTTTTTTTTTGCTAACTTTTAAAATAATACAGTTCTCAAATTTAGAAATTTCCAGTAAAATTATATGAAATATTTAATTGTATTTGAGCAATTCATCGTTTTTTTTTTGTAACGATTCTTTTGCTTTTCTTTTCTCATTTTAAATTTCCGAAGAAAGTCATCCTTACACAATTGAGAAGTTTAGTTTAATGTGTTGTATGTGTGTGTATGTGTGTATGTGCATGTAAAAAAAAAACAAAAAACTAAAATGCTTTTATGATTCATCAAACAAAATAATTCCGATTTTGGGGAGGGGAAAGGTGGAAGGTGAAAGCAACAAAGAAGGAGGAGAAATAAAAAAAAAAAGAAAAATAAGAGTGGTATGTTTTGTTTGCACTTTTATTGAGATATGTAACCTTCAATGATAAAGAGATGATAATGTTGCTATCGTATCAGTAAAAAAACGAAAAGTGGAAGGAGAAAAAAAAGAAAAAATGTGTAAGCGTTTTTGCAAGAGCTATTTAAAAAGATAAATAAGTTTAAATTTTGAAAGAAATTATTGATTGTGTTGATTGATGAAAGAGAAAAAAAGAGAATTGAACATTTTTTACTCATTCTGATCACTGATATGATTTTATCAGCTACGAGCTTATACGACTTTCCATTTTTCAATGAAATTAAAGTTTTGTAAAGGGATAAGTAAAAGAGAAACTGTGTTTTGATAAATTATATTGATGATATCTTTAGTTGAAGCTAATCTTATTCCTGTCCATTTCACTGTAAAAACTACCTTCCATAACTTGATCTTATTTGTGTCTGTGTTTTTTTTTTTTTTTTGATTCATACAGCTATTTCTTCTATAAAAATTTAAATTTATAAATTTTCAATATGATTAAGTGAAACTTTTTGGATTGCTTGTAAATCATATTCGCCTAACAAATTACAATCGGTGCTACTGGATTAAGTAAGACTGCTAGATTAGGAAATGGTTAATTTTGCAGATAAGCCAAAATGATAATGTTTGAACTAAGTAAAATTAAAAAAATATGAACAAGATGCATAATGCCTAATCGGAAATGAGAATATATCCAAAGTTAATTCCTCAATTCCAATACATACATCAAAACAAATATATATGTAAAGTTCGGAATATCAGTGGACAAATTTGCACAAGTTTTGTCCCCAGTTATACATATTATAAATATGTAAGACATAATCACTAAAGCGTTTTAGGATTTGTTTGAAACATTTATAATGAAATTTGCATTTCCTCGAGATAACCGCTTCTTCTACTGATTCAAATTTGCATATATATCGTTCATCAAAACATTATTTTTCAAAACAAAAATTTGACACATAGCTTGAATTGATTTATACATGAATTATAAAAACCATATAAGAAACATTGGAGAGCTCTTTTCCCCCAACATTTCATAAATGAAAATTTTCATACATTACAGGATCCCCGCCACAACAAATCCACAAATTTAACCTTCAACGCACCATAAAATATGCAAATGCCTGGGCAAATGGTGATCATTTCAGAAAATTCTTTTTTATTTAATTGCATTTCATTGTATTATAAGGATATGAAAACAAAATCCTAATTTTTCCTAACAAAAATTTCTACATAAATGTTAAGCAGAATACAAATTAATTTCAATATGAAGTGGAAAAAATTATGAAGCGAAAGAAAGAACAAAAACAAAAAGTTAAAAACCGTACCTAACGAATAAAATTATATAATAAACATAAGATTGTTAAATCAAAACTATGAAGAAATGGATGATTGAATCCAAACTGTGCAGAAAACGAACGCTCTGAATTAATACAGATAACGGAAAATATCACGATAGGAAAAGAAACTGCTTCATGCATTTGATAAAGTGATATACAGCATACAAGTGATGTAATGTGAAGTAAATCTCGACAAAATGGAAATAGAATAATAATTGGCCTCAATTAACTTTCTCATCAACACTATCTAGTCACTCGGTATAGTGTATCTTCAGCATCAAAATCAATGTTAGGCAAACAAGTTTAGATTAATTGCGATCAATTTTATTTCTATAAGTTTGGAAAAATCTCTGAGCGCTATTCGGAATAAAATTCATAAAAAAATGAAAAAAAAATAGTCGGAGACGAAAAACAAGAACACAACCATAAATAAATAGTGACATCAAAAAAATGAAAATCAAAGATCTATTTAAGCGAAACATCTGCAATACTTTCCGTTCAAAAAGAGAAGATTCCCACAAATAAAAGTTCAGGATATAAGTATTGACAATAAAATTTGCACAACCAAGACAAAAACTGCAGTCTCATCAAATGAAGAAAATAATAATTAAAGAGAGAAATTAATTTATAAATTATGATCTCTTTATAATGTCGCCAGTCTTCGTTACCGGAAGACGATTATAAGTCATCATCTGTAATTTCAAATCCTTCATTTCTTAACGGTAATGCCTTCTGAAATAAATTCAACAGTATATTAATTGTGATTTCGTCCTTTCAAAAAATTCAATTTAGGCTCCGTCATGACATGGTAACAGAACTATCTGCTTCGAACTGTCCAGAGAAATTCATTATAATTTTGGAAGTTTCAAGCAAGCCCTTAACAGTCGCATAGTCAACTAGCTAATATCAAGCGGTCTTAATGAAGAACGCAAAAAGAAAAACAATCTTCATTATATCCAATTGGGCAACCTCAATCTAATTCCTTTAGGAAAACTTGGCGTCAACAATCATGAAATCCAATCAGTGTATACTACTTACCATACCAACTACAATATATTTGGAAACAAAATAAACATGAAACGAAAATATACCGAAATTGTGGTAAAAGCATCCCGCACAGACTCATTAGAATCTCCCGTAATCGATTCTGAATTTTGCCTATGCGTCATATTACCGTAATGATGGTTTACATCGACCGAACGAATGCTACCATTGTCGCTTCGAGCATTTGCTAGTAGGTCACGATTTGAAATGATTTCAGTTTCTTCGACCGTCGTCGATTGTACCGAATTTTCCCATTCATTGTTCTCCATTGGCGTTGAATACTGAACAGCTTTCGAAATAACGGGAGACCCTATCGAAGCATCTTCTTGTGAGGAATAAATTCTGAATACATCTTTTGTTGGATAGTCGTAGTCATGGCCACCAAGCTAAATATAGGAAAAGAGACGATTGTATCTCATCAAGAGCATTAAAAAAGCAGACTCACGGAATGATGTGACCATTAAAAA